CAGAGCATCCCCTGCACCTTCATCATAGACTCAAACTTCTCGCAGAGCCACCTTATCAAGAAGTCGAGCGGCAATGCTGTTGTGATGGATGTCACCAATAGTGCGATGGCGGCTTCCTCTACCACTGTTCATTTTGTAAATTCCATCTGCACATTTTCTTTGCCTTTCCAGATCCCATTTTGGATCATCCCGGCCATGAACATCCATTGATGTTTCTGCAAAAACCTTCAATCTTCAGCTGTGATGCTTGTGGGGTTCATACTGAAGGGCAAATCTATGTGTGTGGTTAACACCAAATAATTATCCATTTGAAGTGTGCATTATCACCAAGAATCAATTTTGGGCCCGGGCATAATCACCCTCTTTCACTGTCCTAGTCTTTTCCAAATGAGTTGCGCAGTACAGGATCCCCTGCTATTACTGCGACCGTGAGATACCGTTTCGAAATTGGGTATACTATTGTGGCACTTGTAGGTACATTATTCATCTCGACTGCTTCGATGTTTTTAGAGAATTAATTTAAGTTTAATTTTTGCAGTGATTCACAATTTCCTCATTCAAATCCCGCAAATAATATGTACCTCTTTTTTTTGTCAGTAGCCCCTTTTCACTAAAAAGACCAATCAATCAGAAGTTGGTTGTCTTTTTTTGGACTTATGGTTGATTGATGCTTGTTGACAAATAGAGACACAAGGTCAAACTTCGTAAAGAGGCTTTGGTCGAATTGCCTGCAAGAGATTTTGTGGAGTTGATCAAACATCGGTTAGAGAAAGTAACTGGAAAGGAAATTTTACCGGTTCCTAAAATTATAGAGCTCGATCGCTGTGGACATCCCGTTACTCTTGTGAATGTGCAGGATGATCCTAGCTCGAAAGATGCAGAAATCACCTGCATCAGATGCACCGAACCTATTAAGAGATAAAGCACAAAGGAATAAGAAGTCTTATATTAGTTTCATCTAGTTGGTTATTTCAAGTGAATTACTTATCTTTATCACTTAAATAAAATTAGTTAATTTACATAATTATCATATTTGTAAACTAAGCCTATAAAAGGGCATTTGATGTATTCAGTTTATAAAGGAAATAAAAAATGTAGTCCTTCACTCCATTAGTTTATTCTCTACTTTTATTTTTTTAAATAAAATACCAATTTTCTTCTTGGTATCAGAGCAGCTTCTATCTGCGTCTGAAGATTTTTTTAGCTTCCGCATATATGTCTAATCATGACTTCTGCATTTCTGTTCATCGATACTCAAAATTTTATCATTCTAAAATTCTCTCCACTCAATTATTCATTGCGGAGAGATCCCCGCACAGAGCCAAAGACCTATCGGTTACCTCACAAGTCAACCATTGTTTCATCCTCCAATTTCATTCATCACCACCAAAAAAAAAAAAAGAAAGAAGAAGAGTCTCATCTGAATCCATTCAAAAAATTTCAATCATGGCAAAAGTTCGAGAAAATTCCTTGGACTTGTCATTTTTTTTTACACATATAGTTCTCCGAAAAGTACTCAAAAATGGAGTACACATATTTTTTGGAGAATTATTAGAAAAATTCACATATCTCCGCAAAAAATGGCAACATGGTCATTGGAGATCACATTCACACTTTCAAACCAAGATTGTGTGACATTGGTAATCTACCACAATACAAAATTTTTTATTTTTTATTTTTTTATTGCAGCTTCACTAATCTGAATCCAAATCCATAATATGAGGCCTTCACAACAAGCTCATAATCAAGTTTCAAGCAATTCATCCAGTGGACTCTATTCTACAACAAACTGCGGCTTCAGCCCTCAATCCTTCAGTCCCGGCACAGTTTGTGGGGGAATGTTAAGAGATAAAGCACAAAGGAATTAGAAGTCTTATATTAGTTTCATCTAGTTGGTTATTTCAAGTGAATTACTTATCTTTATCACTTAAATAAAATTAGTTAATTTACATAATTATCATATTTGTAAACGAAGCCTATAAAAGGGCATTTGATGTGTTTAGTTTATAAAGGAAATAAAAAATGTAGTCATTCACTTCATTAGTTTATTCTTTGCTTTTATTTTTTTAAATAAAATACCAATTTTCTTCTGTTAAGAGATAAAGCACAAAGGAATAAGAAGTCTTATATTAGTTTCATCTAGTTGGTTATTTCAAGTGAATTACTTATCTTTATCACTTAAATAAAATTAGTTAATTTACATAATTATCATATTTGTAAACTAAGCCTATAAAAGGGCATTTGATGTATTCAGTTTATAAAAGAAATAAAAAATGTAGTCCTTCACTATATTAGTTTATTCTCTGCTTTTATTTTTCTAAATAAAATACCAATTTTCTTCTAAACCTATCATTTCAGAGTGCCCGCAATGCAATTACTTCGTCCACTATACTTGCGCTCAATTGCCAAAAGAGTTGAACCCATCCGCTGGCCCTAAGTTGCATTTTCTTGACAACTTTGGGCTATGTTCAACTGTATCTGCTGCAAGTTGGATTGCAGTGACTACTGCTACCAGCTCCAGGTCGGGGATCAGGCATTCCGCTCGGATGTAAAGTGTGCCTTTTTGCCCAGAAAACTTATGCATAGAGCACACCACCACCCTCTTTCAATGAATGCAAATCATAATTTATTCAGGAAATGTAATTCCTGTGGCGACTTCTGTTTGGATTGTGATTGTCTCACGCTGCCAGAGAGCGTCACCCACAGGTGGAGTAAGCATCCACTTCGACTAAGCATTCCTAATTTCTACGACCGTCCTCATGAATTCTATTGCGAGATCTGCAAAGAAGAAATTCATCCGAGATATATGGCACTACTACTGTAAAGAATGCGATCGGTCTTTTCATCCACGCTGTATCCCTAAAATTTTATATCGAAACTGCATTTTTGGTGGCACCCTTGAACTCGGTTCTCACCCGCATCCTCTGAAGTTCATACGAGCAGGTGATTATTATTCCAGGTGTGATTCTTGTCATGAGTTCATGTATATAAACGGATTTTTAAATGTGTAATTAGTTGCCAGTTCTGTATCTGTCTCAGTTGTGTTACAAAAAAACTACAAGTTCAGGAAAAATTGTCGGTCCTGCTAAAACCTCTGAATGATTCAGACTAGTTGGCGTTGTAATTACGCTTCTTAAAAGACATGATGAGTGACATAATATGTGTGAGAATCCATTCCTTCTTCATTCTTGTCGAGAATGGAGATTACTCCGAGCCTGATTGCAAGAGTCATCACAGAATGAAGCACTCATTACTAACGGCCGGTAAGTCAAATTATTTTCGCTTGTCTTTATTTAACCTGTGTCGCATCAACAGGGTCCTAGAGGATTGCAGAGGTAGAATGAAAAAATTAATAATCTCATGATTATGATTTCATTTCGTTGATCGTAAAATAAACTAAATAAGTATACAAACATATGGGCTGCCCGTAAACATAGAAATCAAATATATGTCATTATGTTGTAAGATGTCTAGGATTTAAAATTCATGTAGAAACAAAATAACGAGGTTGTGGGAATACCGGATTAGTCCATTAAAGACAATGTGAGGGAACCCCCTTACACATTTACTGGGAAAGTTGCATTATTTAAGCAGGAAACACAACCCAAAAAAAAAAAAAAATGATGTACTGTAAGAAATAGTTGCGATTTGTAAAATAAGAAATGCTAGCTCTTTTTGAGGTCGATTGATGAAGCATTTGGAATTCCTCAAGACCTGATTATCTCAATGATCATGTCGAACTTGCTGCAAAGTTGATTTTTGGTTCTAGTGAATGGTGGTGCTCCAGCAGGATTCTTTCATGCAACAGGACGGATTAAATAGGGAGATCTATTGTCCCCCTATTTGTTTCTCCTTGTTTCAAAGCTCTAACTAGAAGATGGAAAAATCTGACGACGGATCAAGGTTTAATATCTTGTTATGGTTCGCCAGCTGGATCATAACTTATGTCACATTTATGAGTAATTTGTTGATGATCTTATTTTTTTTACAAGAAAATTGAAGCATTCAGTGAAAGAACTGTTGAAATTCTTCTCAGAGATTTTGAACAAAATTATAAATAAAACTTATAATAAAGAAAAACTCACTACAATAAAACAAATATGTACATAGAAATAATAAATACGGAAATCATGAAAAAATTTTGACTAAAAATTTAGGTACAATTTACTTAAATCTGACTGAAAGATAAATTTTTGTAAAATAATAAATTTATAGTGCAATTTGTTTTTTTCCAGAAGTTTGGGAGCAAAAACGTAGTAATTTAATTAGGACAAAATTTTGTTATTTTCTCATTTTGCCCTTAAAAAGTACTTAATATAATAAAATTCAAACATAGGGTACAAATTTGGGAAGATCATTCTTAAGATACATAATTTAGAGACCCCTATTCTTAGCGTACATGAAGTGAATTTTTCGCTTTTTAATTTTGATATTCATTCAAAACAACGAATTTGTTTTTTATTGTCAACATTACAAAGAATACAACATAATTAATTTCATCAGAAATTAATATTATCTGACTTTTACATTGATACAGAAAGTTCTAATAATATTTCAAAGAAAATTTTTGGAGATATGCATCAGAAAACTCAATGGTTTGATTTGTGTTGAGTACTCGGATTGGATTTTTTTGTAGTGAAATTAATAAAGTCAATCACAAAGTGTAAAATTAAGAATATAAACTGAAACGGTCATCGGATCTGTGATGGAATGTAGGAACTGAAATTCTTTGTATTAAGTGTTATATTTAATCATCAGTATTACTGTCGCCTTTTTAATAAATAAAAAAACACTATAAACATGTAAGTTAATGATGTATAAAAATAAAGGTACCACATGAAATTGATCGATTACTTAATTATAACTCCACTGAGTAAAGACGGTAAAAATTATAGAAAATTATTGATTTTAGTCTTCCACTTCAAGGGAGAACAAAATGAAAAAGTCAACTTTTGGATTTCGTCGGTTTAGATACATCAGCGCCAACGTCGACGCAACGTTCAAATGGTATTTTCCTTTTCTCCTCCTGGTTTGTTGAAGTCTAGTTCACAAATGCGCTCTGAAAGATGATGAACAACCTGCGGCGTAACATCCAAAATGGGCGATGGTTGATTGGAAAGCAGAGGAACAACCGGGGGAGCAGCTCCAGCCGGCAAAGGAGGTAGAGGGGGAGGAGGAGAAAGTTTTTTGTCAATCTTCATGGGACCAACCTCAGACTTCAGATTTTGTTTCCGTTTTGGCTTGGTGATCTTCGTTTTTGGGCGGAAAAGCTCGGCATATATTTCTTGAAGCCGTTTTGCGGGATTTTTCTGGGGATTTGAATTCTCCATGAACAATATCAAAATAGTGCACTGTAACTAATCTAGGCTTAATTTGTTGGTGGAATTTAAGCTCCTGAGTATCTTTATTTATACACATTTTGGATTGGTGTAATGGAGGAAAAGAAGTATGAACATTGAACATCCATCATCACTATTAACTTAGTTTTGAATGGTTTCATCCGTTATTGAACTCTTTTTAGGGAAAATTTCGAGTTTGATTTAAGAATCTTTGTATATGGGAAATTGTTAATGACTACGATGTGTATATATAGTTGGTCCTCATTATTGTTTTTTTTTCTCTTTCAAATTTTTTGTTCAAAAGGTTACCTAAGGTAATCTCTGTACATAGTTTTATGTTCAACAGTAACTGTCTGGTTCCTTTCAAGTAAGTTTTAAATCTTGATTTCATGATTTTAACTTTTTCTGTAACTTTTCTCTCTTGCTATCTCGGCCGACCCTCTCATCCCTCACGCCATCTTTTTAATTTAATTTGGATCTATGTTCTTTTGGTTTCGCCCTTAATGTTTCAACAAACTTTTTTTCCAAAGACTTCAAGGGGAAATAAAAAGAAAAGGCCAACTTTGGATTTCGTCGACCTTTTTGTCGGTATATATAGGTCAACGATGTAGTAGACACAGCATTCAAATTTATTTTTCTTCTTTTTCTCTTTGTTCTTGAAGTCCTGGGTAATGAATAGCGCTTTCTAAATGGTAACATCAAATTTTCTTTGTCCGCAGCGATTTTATTAGATCCATCCGTATTGAGAATATATATATATTCACTAGGATTTGGCGACCTCCAAGAAAGCATCTGTATTTCGTCTGTCTTGGTTTCATAATTCTGATGCTGAATATTTCTTCCAATTCCTTCACCTTGGTAGTAGTTTGTGCTCACAATTCATGAACATTTAAGATCTTATAAACATTGGTTTTAATGCTATGAATTGCAATATCAAAGGAAAAAGTGCTACCTTCATGTTCGTTCTTAATTTTCCATAGCTCCCATAAAATGAGAGATGGAACATCAAAATCACCATCTTCATTGCCGATTGGAAATTTTCTATCGAGAGCCAATCTTGAATATAACTCCAAAGTCCTGCATCATAACGCCAAAAAAAAAAACCCAACAGACCCGAAAAGTATCTCCATACAGCTTTTTCCAAACATAATGGACATCGAGAAATTTGCGAGTAGAAAACCATTTTTCATAAAATCTCTGGAAAAGAGATTAGGTCATTGACTAGGTTCCACACATGGAAGGAAATGTTTTTAGGTAGATACTGATTCCCAATGCATTTCAGGATCGGACTGTTCAATGGTTTTTTTTTTTTTTTTGAATAAAATTTTGGATCGGATATTTGTGGGACTTGTCATACATGTATTATAATATTAATCTTTGTTAGTGGGTAGTTATTGAAGTGAAAATTAGTGATTTTGACCCTCCCTAAAGTGCTTGAGGATCTCGAGCAACTGTTTCTCATAATACAACAGAAACGTAGAGACTACTTAGCACAAAACAATTCTACAAACGAACGAGAACTTAGAACAAGCCGATAAACACCAAAAATAGGAAGGAAGAAACGCTCTTATCAAAACTGGAAGAGAGGAGGGAAAAAGGGGGTGTCGATTGTTGAACCTTTGAGAGGAACCTTTGAGTTGCGGAAGGTTTCAAACGGTTTTCACCATTTAATTACAATTTAATGCCTAGGTTTATGGCCAAAAAACTATTTAAACATTTTATACATTCAAACCACATTAACCTATATATTCAAGGCTCCTAATGGTCAAGTAATGCTAGAACTTTAATTCAAATAAAACTAAAAATGGTTTTCCAATAAACCAACTATCCATTTGACCATTAACCGTCCCAAATTTATTCTACAGAATTAATTTTGACGTTACACATTAACCTCTCCGTTTGACTGGAAAATTTAATCCGAACCGGAGCAAAACGTGGGTTGATCATGCCCGCGAAAGTTCGGTTCGACAATCGATCCCAATCTCTTGAGAAGCCAAATTATCATTCAACTTGAACTCAATTTCCAACAATCCCCCACCTGAATGAGATATTGTTTCGAATAAATTGATGATGATGGTGTTCACTAACTGATTCCTGCATAGAGAGAAAGTAGGTTTTACCCTTTGAACTTCCTCCTTATAAAGTACGTTTGCTCTACTAGATGTCTAGTAGATGTGATATTCTTGAACTGTCCAACTATATTGTGTAGAGAAACTCACGTACAATACATAGAAACCATTTCTATTTTGGCCATGAACACGTCCTGGTTCTGCAAGAGTTTCTAAAAAACTGAGTCTTAACAATTCTTCTTTGAAGTGGCTCCACTTCTCTATCACATAGGTGACAACTTAAGTCTAGAATAAATGATATTATTCACTTAAGTATCGTTAAAGCAACTGTTTGCTATCCTTTCCGTCATATCAATGTTTGATGACAGGAATGAGTTGAGGTTTACTCCCATAGTGACCACACTAAGTCTTATGATTAGGTTGTCCCATTGAACCAAGATCTTCGGATCTCCAGTGAACTAGGTTGGGTTTTTCTTCTTAAGACTTTTATCTCTTTCCAGGCTTTACACCCATTCATTTGGTCAATCTTTCAACTACCTCTCTATTTAACCCTTTGGTTAGTGGATCCGCAAGATTATCCTGTGACTTCACATAGTCAATTGTGATAATTTTTGTTGAGAGGAGTTGTCTAATGGTATTGTGTCGACCACGAATATGTTTCGACTTACCATTATACATAGTACTCTGTGCCTTTCTAATTGCCAATTGACTATCACAATGAATACTGATATGTGGCACATGTCTTTCTCACTTTGGAATATCTCCAAAATATGGCATAGCCATTCAGCCTCCTCACCACACTTTTCCAAGGAAATGAACTCGGATTCCATTGTGGACCTGGCTATTACAGTTTGCGTTGAGGATTTCCATGACACAGCTACTCCGGCTAGTGTAAACACATAGCCACTTGTGCAGTGTAAGTCCTTTATATCAAATATCAAATTAGCGTCCGTGTAACCTTCCAACACAGATGGATACTTGGTATAATGTAGTCCATAATCACGAGTATGCCTTAGGTACCTCAGTACTCTAATTATAGCAGTCCAGTGTTCAGCATTAGGACTACTCGTGTACGAACTCAATTTGTTTACCACATAAGCAATATCTGGTCTAATACAATTCATTAGATACATCAAACTTCCTATTATCCGAGAGTATTCCACTTGAGATATACCCTGTCAATGATTCTTGGATAAAATACTATTATCTAATGGAGTTTTTGCGACTCCAGAATCATTCTTGTTAAACTTGTTAAGAATTTTGTCTATGTAATGAGCTTTACTCAAAATTAGATCATCTTTTGTCCTTATGATTTTAACACATAAAATCACATCAGCTAGACCCATCTCTTTCATGTCAAACTTAGAGTTTAACATGCTCTTAGTAGATTTAACCAATTTGTCACTACTACCAACAATGAGTATATCGTCTACATATAGATATAAAATGACATAATCGTTGTCTATCTCTTTGACATAAACGCATTTGTCACACTCATTAATCTGGAATCCACTAGTAATAATTGCATGGTCAAATTTTCCATGTCACTTCTTAGGTGCTTGCTTTAGACCATACAAAGACTTTACTAGTTTACAAACTTTTTTTTTCTGTACTTGGAGCTCGGAAACCCTCTGGTTGTTCCATAAAGATCTCTTCATCTAAGTCTCTATTTAAGAAAGTTGTTTTAACATCCATTTGATGTATTTTCAAATTCCTAAAGGGAGCGACAGCTAGTATCATCCTTATGAAATTTATTCTCATCATTGGAGAATACGTGTCAAAGTAGTCTAAACCTTCTTGTTGTTTATACCCTTTGATTACAAGCCTGGCCTTGTATTTGTCAATGGAACCATCAAGTTTCATTTTCCTCTTAAAGATCCATTTGGATCCCAACGGCTTTCTTCCAGGTGGGAGATCATCAATCTCGTTCTTTATGGCTTGTTCCCATAAAGGCCACTCAAAAGAACTTACTGCCTTAGCATAAGTTAGAGGTTCTCTTTCACTTATTTTTGTTTAAAGAGAATTTTAACACACTTCACTCATAACCAATTGGTTGCAAGATGGGAGTCCAAGTGACTTTGACAGTACATATCAATAAATATTAAAAATGAAATCATTAATTGCGTAATTATAATACCATCAAGTAAGGACCATAAAAAGATAGGAAAAACATTAATCTTGGTTGCAATGTCTTCAAGGTGGTTAAAAATAGTGTTTTCTATATGAAAGGGTCCATTTTCCTTTGTCATCGACTTGTTGGTCACGACGAAGTCCATGCTATTTTCAAGTTGTGTTTTTCTTCCTTTTTTTCTTATCAAAATTTATTATTTCATTGTTACTTAATTCTAAAAATGGTCCTCTACATTAAGCCAAATACACATTTCTATTATTTTCATCGTTGTCTTCGTAATTCTTATCCTAATTTTATTAATCAAGTTTTAATTTTAATAATAGTATGAAACAATGGATTCATTATTCGTTGGTTTTATTGATGGCATTACGGAGAATGTAGTTAAGGCAGCACAATTAATTTCGATAAAAAAAAATATGATTTTTTTAACGATATTAAAAATTCTTAATTTCAAAGAAAGAAGCCTTTTATTATATATGCATCAGAGAACTATTTTATTTTTATTTTTCTGAATAAAATTTTTGGATTTTTTTTTCAGCAGAATTATGAGAGTCAATTCCAAATATAAAATTTTGTACTCTCTTGCCCCGAATTATTGTCTAATTTAGATTTAGCCTCTTTGTATAACTATTACAAGGGTAAGGCTACATACAACTAATTCCCCAAACCCCAACTTGGTTGGAAATATACTAGATAGGTTGATGTTGATATAGTACAAAATTGAACTAAATTTGATAATTCAAACTAGACAATAATTTTGAGACAGAAAGAGTAAATAAACCTAAATTTAC